TGCACTAATTATTGCAGAATCAGCATAGGAAAGATAAGAAGAAAGCACAGTCAAATGCATCAACAAATTCAACCAAAAATTCTTTCGCTGGACGAACGAAAAATTCATTACCAAATTTTTCATCAAAGTAAATTAATCATTTAATTAATTCATACATTTTTAACATTTTTTTTTATTTTCAAACATTTTATTATTAAACAAACATTTTAAAATGAATTTTAGGATAGTGAGAAAGCAAAATTGTTGTTTACGGATTTTTCATGAAAAAACCGTTGGTAGCTCAATGGAAGAAAGTGGCGGCGATATTCAACAAATTGGTCCAGATGAAGTCTCAGTAGCAAGCAGTAATTATATCCGATATTACAGTGCACAAAATCGTTTAAAACGATCACCACAAGCAAGCTTAATTAATCAGGTTAATTAACCTATATCAATGATAAACCATAATAATAATACCTATATTTTTATATCATTAATTTTTTCCGAAATAATTGTGTGAATATTTTATCGCTAATTTTGCTTTGTTTCGTTTTTTCCTACTAAAATTGATTGACTAAATTTCACGTAAAATTTGTTATCAAATTGTCATATCTGACAGTATCCTAAATATGATCGATGCAACATCCATTAATGAACAAAGTTATGAATTAATGATTGAAATATAAAAATCTAATTTTATTACTACTTTTTTTCATCATTTATTCTGATACTATTTTACTGATTGACATATAAATAAAATTAAAAAAATATTTCGCTTTTTTTGAAGTAAAATATTGCAGGAAAGTAACAGTTTATTAACGGAAACAATATCACCTGCAGGTGATCGAATTTCACGTAAAGATAAATCTTCCACATATACTGTTTTAATCGAATTAAAAGATAGCGAGCAAGGACAATCACGTATACGTCTTTCATCGTGCGATTCGGATATTTCTGAGTATATTTCTAATTCTTTTTCATTTTCCTGTTTTTTTTTTTTTAAAAAAAAGAATCATTATTTAATAATTTATTAACGAAGTCATGATTCTTTATAAATTAATCATTAATCCAAGTTTATCCTCATATCAGCAATCATTTATCCTTGTTCTTAAATTGCTGAATTGACAAATGAATGAGGAATTTTTCTTCATTATTTTTTTCTTTGCTAAATTAAAATAAATTAATTTCATTCATTTATTATTAAATTAATTTATTCATTACTAAATTAATAAAATTAATTAACTTAATTTAACAGATAACATTTAAGTGTGTTTGAATTATGCCATATTTTCTTTCATTGTGATTTTTAGTACTTTTTATCAAATTCATAATCAAATTTAAATTAGCTGTTTTCTTTTAAAGATTATCACGCTCTGGACCGGACAGAATAGAAGATGTTCGTAAAAATATGGTTTCTCAACAACTTTTAAATGGAACTATTTTAGCTAAGTAAGAGAGTATTATAAATTTCAAGAGATTTTATTTTAAATTTAGGGTGGTGAATTATTTTTAGATACTAGTTAATCGTTTCCTTTTTTGAACTTTTGATAAGAATTAGTGTGAATAGCTAATTAAAAATGAATGTGTATGAAATAATTAACTATTTATTGACCACTTGTTAGTCAATTATTGCTGTTTACTATGAGAATGATAAAATTTTATAATATTTAAGTTTACTTTTTTTGTAGTAAAATTTTATAATGCCTTTTAAGCAAATAATTTCAGCAAATTATTTAACGAGCAACGAAAAAGTGAGAAGGAACGCAGAAAAAATGAAAGAAAGCAAGAAAGTAAAGCAGCAAAAACACTTTCCGCCATTTTATTAGCATTTATTATTACTTGGACGCCTTACAATGGTGAATAATATTCATTTTAATTAGTTAAACTTATCAATAATTACTTCTCATTTATATTAACAAAGCAAAAAAAGGTGAAAGCTCATATGGTTAATTCATTACTGGAAATGCTTACTTTCGTTACTTAATTATTAATTAAACTCTCGAATTTTTGCTAAATGTTAAACTCTAAAATGATAAATTGAATTACCTTCTGAACTATTGCACAGTTTAGTCTATATAGTTAATTTGTTGCCGGAAATGAGCACTTATTCATCGATTATTGAACAAGTTCTTGAATTAGCGTCGAAATACTGAAGTTTTAAAATCATAAATTAAGCTAGCTTCAAAACTTAGCATTGTTAGATCATCTTAAATTAGCAAATTTCGAATTTCAAAATTAAGTTTACTTTTTTTTATCATTTATTTGTTGCATGCGCAATTTTCCATTGCTATATCATTAATTAACTAGAAAAAGATAGAAAAATGTTACAAAAAATTGATGGTAAGTTTTTTTTTTTATTGTTGTTGTTGCGTTTTCAAAGCTGAATACATCTGTGTATTCATGAAGTTGCAAAATAAACAATGAAATGAATCAAAATTTTCGTTAAATTTAACAATAATTTTCAAAATTATTTGTTTTTGAAATCTCGATGAATATATTGTGAAATTTCGGAAATATTTGATAGAATTTGCTTCATTTTTTTTTTCATTCCAAAATATATATTTTTCTTTATTTTTTAATACTTACAAATATAAGAAATTTTAAAATTATTCATATAATTCCAAAAATTTTATGCATTTTATTCCTTTTTTGTGTTATACAAAGAAATCATTTCAATACTTTAATTAGAAAAAATGACAAGAAGTATTTATAATACATATGTAATTATTATCCACAAAATTAATTAATATTTTCGTTACAGAAAAAAATGAATTATTCATAAATGAAATGAATTACCAACAGTCATATTTATACGTACATTTTATTTTTCAGTTATTGTATGCTGGGAAGCATTTTATAAAGATTCCATTCCGGCGGTATATTTTCATATTGCATACTTTTTATGCTATATCAATTCAACGATAAATCCATTTTGTTATGCTTTTTGTAATCCACGATTTCGTCTAACTTATATGCGAATTTTAACGGGAAATTGGAAACGACAGAATGCCCTTGGCTTAAGCAAAATGGCATTTTTGAATCGAAGTTAACAATGAGGTGTGAAAAAAGAAAAATGAAACTTTTCAACCTCTTATTAATCGTAAATAAAATAATATTCTATAATTTTAACAAAAAAATTGTACTATTTATGAATAATATTTCATCTTCCATTATTATATTTTGTAGTACGCGAGCATTTCGTTTTTTTTATCATGTATAGCTTTAATTGTTTGTATATGATGTTTAGATATGTTTATTGACCATTCCTTTTTTTGCATGTTTTTGTTGTTATTTAAAAATTAATTTATTGTAAAATAAATCTTAAATTTTTATCTTCTAATTATTTGTCTTCCATATCAAAACATAAATTTAGAAAGTTGTTTAATTTTAAATTTTGATAATTTGTAGCATTATGTCGAGAGATTTTATATTGTAATTTAACGTTATGATATTACTATTACTATTCATTCTCAGTGAAAATTTTTCCTTCTTTTTTTTGCTTTTTTTTGAAAGTTTTTTATAAGGTTTATATAAGAATGGAATTGCTCATGTGTGAAAAATCCGAAGATTTACATATTCATTGTTGATATGCTTCAAATTTTAATAATCAAAAATGCCTCCTCATACAGATCATTAGAAATGATTATATAATTTGCAGTAATAATTCATTAAATATAATTATCATAATTTTTTCTAATTTTTTCGAAAAAATTTTAGCAAAAAAAAAACACAAGGGAAGGAAAGATAATAATTTATAATTTTTCATATTTGCTGTACCATGAAGTTTCATAAGACAAAAAAAAAACGGAAGAAATTACTTATCTTGTCATATCTATCATATCATATTTTATTATATATCATTTGTTTTAACTTAAAATATCACAAAAAACATTAAAAGAACTTAAAATAATAAAGTAAAGTGAACACATAAATGATATTTTAAATATTTATTGAAATTATAGAAAAACTAAAAATAGAATTATACTTAAATATAAAACAAACAGAAACTGTGGTTAAATAATTATATGAAAATTTTCCTATTTATCTAATCAGTAAGAAAAGAAAAGGGGTTAATTAACAGAAAAGAAAGATAATCTATGATTTCTAGTGGTTGTAACAATTTCAAGGACGAAAAATTCCTCCTTCTTTCTTCTTTTTACAATTTCGAAATATTATTAATAAATGAAAGAATAATTGATAAAAGGCATAAATTTTTGAAATTTCTTCCATTTTTTTTCAAATGAAAAACTGGAAAACTCATTTTTTATTTTAAACCACTTTTAACGTTTATCACGTTTTTCTCACGAAATATCGTAAAAGATGTAAAAATGATGTAAGCAACAATATTAATAAAGTGTGATAGTAATGAATTATTTATTCATATTATCCATGCAGTTTTTATCCAATCAAGACAAAATCATTTTATGATATAAAATAAAAGTTAAAAAGAAACAGTTTATATTTGTTTAAGAATTTTGAAAAATTACAGTATATTTCAATTTAAATCATTTTTTTGTGAAAGTATTAATTGGAATATATATTATTTATAAAAAACCCAATTAAATAATAAAAAAATTATTGAAAAGCTCGAACAAAACATATGTTTGATTTTCTTTTAAAATATTTACCATATCACTTTTTATGCCGAAACAAAAATTTCTGAGGTTTCTTCAGTATTTTTTGTCAATGATATGATTGTAGAATAATGATATAATTGTAGAATTTTTGTTGAATAGTTTGAAATATTCATTAATAATGAACGAACTTCACCCAGATAATTTAAATGATCATTCAAAGCAACTCCGAAAGGAGTTGAAAGTGCCCCAGACAGAACCATACACGGTGGCTCAAGGAAAAGGGAACAATAAAACCGGTAATTTATAATTTTAATAACTTTGGAAATGATTATGAGCCTGTAATTTGTGGGAAAAATATAATATATTTTGATCTCTTCCTGATAAAATCTTATGAACATCATCACAATCGATTTATTCGATATTCTAACAACAATTTGTGCAACAATGTTCTCTTATAATTTCTATTTTCAGCGTATTTACGGCAAACAGTTAGAAACTGAAAGAGTGACGTATTCAAGCCTCAAAGACAATACAGGCAAGATGGTAAGTGTTTTGAAATAGAATTTTCATTTAGTTTTACAAAGATGTTCCTACATTGATTCATTTAAAAGCCAGTAGACTCATTAATTATGCATATTCCAGGCTTTTGCGCCCGTTGTGGCCACCACCTCTTCCTGCCATCTTGATTTACGGTCGCATACAGAACCGCAGCGGTGGAACTTCATGTCCTCAACTGGTTTCAGAGGACATGTGTGGCAGCGAAAAACGGATAAAAAAAACTTGGCTCTGTGGGGAGAGAAGAGGATGCTCATCACCCTTCATTTCAGGAAGAAATTGGTACCACTTAAAAAGCGAGATTTAAATGTTAAAAACGAAAAATTGAATAACTATAATTGAAATTGAATGACTATCTTATAGTTTTTTCAATCAGTGATTTTTTTTTTTTGTTTCAGGTCAACCGGCTTCCTCACACGGCCAACTTGTCGCTGTTTGCTTCAGTTCTCCATCCTCTATCCAATGAAATACGTCTAAGCGGGTTAATAATATCCAAAAAATATAAATACAAAAACCAAAAAAAAATGAAAGTAATTAAAAAGAAAAAATTCGGAAAACAAAAAAATAGAAGAAATTGTTAAAAAATGCAAAAAGAAAAACAGGGAAAAATAAAAAAATGATTCAAAAAAAAAAAAAGGATAAGAAAAACAAAAACAAAGAAAAAACAAAAAAAGAAAGAAAAAGTGAAAAAATTAAAAAAAAAAGAGAAAATTAAAAAAAAATGCGAAACAAAGCAGAAAAAATAAGAAAAACGGAAAAAAACAAAAATTAAAAAAATGCAAGGAAAAGTGGCAAAAAGATTTTAAAAAAAAGGCAAAATAAAAAAAGCAAAAAAATAAAAATTAGAGAAGAATAAAATTGAAAAAAAGCTTTTTTGTTTGATTTAGGTGTAAGAACAACTGATTTCGAAGTATTTTGTAACTGTTTTACACTTGCATATCTCATTTATTGTCTGCAGTGACTAAGTAAAATCAAAATGCTTATAAAAGGAAATTTCTTTATTTTGCTATTGGAAAATGGAACATAGCTTGTTTTAGATTAAATCAATTTGAAATTATTCTTTCTTCCTTTTTGATTTTTCGTTTCCTTTACTAACTCTCTATGATCAGCTAACTTTTATTAAAAATTTATTATTATATTTTACTATTTTTTCACTCAAGTAATGTTGTGAATAATTTAGGCATGATCCCTTTCTTGAAATTCCACTTCCTAATATGTACTTTCGTTCCATTTAATATCGACAGTACATATGGACCTTATCTGATGATTCGATATATAATTATTATTAATAACTTTTTTTTTTTGTTTTTTAAATCGTTCACAACTATCGTTTATTTTTAACATTTATATTACCTCATCCGTTATTTTTGTTTGCTGAAAATTTTGATTGTTGTTGTAATGTTTAACATTTATTTTTGAATTTTTGCTCTTTTAATTTTTTCTTCGTGAATTGCGTTCAACTTCAAACTTCTCCCCTTGTTTTTTGAAATTATTTAAGTTTTATTTGAATTATTAGATTTTCGGAATTTTCTTTTCTTCTTTTTCTGGAGTTAATACGATATTTGAATTTTCTATTTGCAAATTAGACTATCTTAGCCTTCTTGTTTTCCAAATTTTTTCATTTTCTCTGTGTTTTGTATACCCAACGGTAAATATGATGTTAATCGAATTGAATACAATGGTTGAATTAGAACGCATCTTTTTGTCGTATCTGAATAACTGGACCTTTCCAGAAAATCATTTAGGCAGTTTAATACAGGTAATTTCTTCATTCAAAAGATTTTTTTATTGACGAAAAAACCATTTCTTAATAAGAATTCTATAAAATTCGCATCTTTCTAAGTTATACTTCCGGGATTTCTGTTCAGTTTTTCATACATCTGACACTTATTTGGATCCTGTCAGAAGCTTCCTGTAACAAATGTAATACTTAAATTCTTGTATATTTGAAATAAAAATTTTTCATCCTCAAATTCGTAATTACAGTTGCTGCAGTAGAATAAGCATAACCTCTATTCTATATAATACATTTGAAAACAAACATCAGGATCAACCAGTCCTTTAGATATGAAATTTTAGAAGATAGCCATCCTGAATAGCATATAAAACTTTGAAAACAGATTCACTCATCATAAAAATGGCAGGTGAAAATTACAGTGAACTTTGATAATTATATTCTTCATCAGATTTTCTAATAGAATTGACTTGTCAACATCTTTACATGTCGGTTTCATTTACTTCAACAAATATCCTTGTCGAATCTTATTCTTCATCAGCTCATTTAACTATTGACTTATAACTAATTACCTTACTCTTTTATTAACCATATACTTTACCTGACTTCTTTTTTAGTTATATACTTAAAGTGTTAATTATTAATAGTGCAAAACAAAGCAGAAATATCATCCATGCATTTATTACCGAGTATAGTGTTACAAATGTTGCAGTAATTTGATGATGTCAAAATCCGTAAGTAATAACTAGCTCAACTATGGAAGAACGAATTCACAGGGAAACCGGCAATTAATAGAAAAGTATTTTAAGATTATCAAGCAATAAAAAGAAGTTAAAATAACTTTAAAATTGCCTGAAAATTTTCGGAATTTTTTTTTTTTTGGAGTTATTTTGATATTTAAATTTTCTATTTTCGAATTAGATTATCTTAGTTCTTTTTTTTTAGTTTTTTAATTTATGAAACTGTTTGAATTCTTTGATTCAACAGAAATTGTTTTTTTGGCATTAATTTCAAGCAGGTTTTGTAATCGAATTTAAATGCTTCTACTTAATTTACTTTGTTTTTTTGCGCTTGACTTGTTGCATACTTTCCATTACTATAATATTTTATACTAATTGCAGTCTCGAGTCTCTTTCTTTTAACATTGTTTTTGAAGGCATTTTTGGTTATCTCTACTAATTGCATGCTCTTTTAACTTCCATTTGTCGTTAATGCATACGTTTTTCCCTGCATTTTTATTGACTGCATGCTTTTTTAAATTAATTTCACTTCTGCTATAATAGCTGATATTTTGGATTAATTTTGGTTATTGCTTGCTGCATATTAACTTGTTCACTACGACAATATTTACTGTTGATGCATGCGTTTTCTTATATTTTATCTACTGCATGCTTTTTGTTAATTTTTTCATATTTCATTTCTTTATTTTGCCATCCGAATTGCAAGTCAAAATTTTTAAACAAATTCGATCAAATGCTTAGAAAGCAAATTTTTTTTTGTCACGTTTTTAATCGAATAAAAAACTTAAAAGGCTCTGTTTATGAATTATTCCTTTTTTAAATCCTTGAATTTTTCATTTTTTTTGATGAATGTCTTTCTGTAATTTCATTACTTGATGCTGTTCTTGCTGCCTTCATTTTTAATGCTTTATTATTACAATTTCAAATCATTTTTGTAAATTTTATTTCTGCATGCATTATTGGTTATTTCTGTTAGCTGCATGGTTTTTGTAAATTTTATTCACCACATTTGACGTTATTACATAGATCTCTTTTATTTTAGCAACTACATGCTTCTGTTTTGTTTTGTTTTTTCAATTTGCTATTATTTTCCTACCTACTTTTTCTTTATGCTAACTGCATCAGTTCAGGACTAGCATATGATTAAGAACGATATAATATTTCCTTTTTCTATAAAAGAATTCCGCCCAACATAATTTGTTCATTAACAAAAATAAAATATGAAAAATTTAATTCTTCTCTTATGAGATATTTTGGAAAAAAAAGAGAGAAAATTACCAATCATTTGACAATTGCAATGGTCATTAGACCAAAACATCCGAAACTATTCAAGACACCTGTGACTTGCAAAAATATTACGAATCAGGAATCATTTTTCTTTTTGCATTAGTAAAAAAGTAATATTTGCAAATTGGAATTGCAATATTTCAGCGCAACCACTCTCTGCTCAACTTGCTTCTAAGTACATTTCTATGAAGCAGTTGTTATTATTATCCACTTCACCAGTAAATAAGGACTTCGTTTCATTTATCCTTCACTAATTTCTCTAGTTTTGCTAATTCATTTATTTCAAAAAAAAAAAAAACCTTTTATCATTTTCAGCAATACAAGATATCAACAAACTGATAGCATCGTTATAATCATTTCCTAATTTTAAAAATGGCTCTAGGTTATTTTTAATTTTATAACGATCTTCTTTTCTGTTAAAAAAAAAAATTCTGCAGTAGGTATTAGAGTCAGAGCTGAAGCACCAACACAAACTTGGATTTAAAGTAATAGCGTATTTTGTAATCTTAAGAATGCCTGTCGTATTAATCAACAAAAGGGTTTGGAAAAAGTTTTAAAAAAGAGACATTTTTTTTTCTTTTATTATCCATTAATACTCACTTTCACACCTTATTTACTCTACCAACAATAATAAATATACTATAAAAATATAGGAATTAGGAATTTAATCTGCTGGTGATTGATCAAGTGATCAAACATCAAAGAATTTACTATGGCAAATATTACCGCAAGGACGAACAGACTACTCATGTCATTACTCTTAATAAAACTTTAACAGCAAATCAGGAAATGAGAAGGCTTTTTCACCATAATGCTGTTGAAAACTTCATCTTTCATATATAATTGCTATCATTCTGGAGCTTATTCATCACAGATTAACATTTATATTGAAAAAAGATTCTGTAAACAATGAAAGAATTAATATGCTGCATTATTCTACCGTTTATTTCCTACCGGAACGCAAGATGACGATCACTTGAAAGGTGCCTCAATATAACCATAATTTTAAACGCTGGAAATAAAATTCATATTGATGATTTGCTGAATAATTTAGCTAATCGCTAATATAAGCATTTCGATTTGAGAGCAAATATTTCAGAGTGTGAAGCGATTTTATTGATATATTATTTCTTGCTTATTACAAAAGCAAAGTTTGACGATTATCGTTGATTTAGCAATGAAATAGAAAAGAGATAAACGATATTATTGTTTAATTTATCAAAACGTAGAGCAATATTATCAAGCATATAGATCAAATCATCATTTTCCATACATGCATAATCCATTAGTCCTTATTTATCTCGTTTTTTTTTTCTGAAGTATATCCTATTATGTTAAAATCACCAGTTCCTCGTTAGGATGTAAGCTGTGTTAGCTGTACTAATGAAAAAGATTCTCTATAATCTTTATATTTTGACTTTTTTTTCTCTCAAAAAAGCGAAGTACAATGTCAATTTCTCTTCCTCTCCCTCTCACTCTCCATCTCAAAATTATTCGATCTATATTTTTTAATTAACACTCCATTTGTAACTAATTTTTATAAACTTACTAACAGTTGCATTACAAATGAAAAAATGATGATTACATCTATATAAGAGTGCTGAAGTGGCATGCTGAGATGACATGTGATGTGTTATTGTTGTGATGGTGGTTGCTAGCGCAACAGATGCAGTTTTCTTCTCCCTTTATTTAATGAACAAAAGTTAAGCATTTACTTTGATAAGTTTATTTAGTGTTTTGTCTGCTCTTCCACAAGCAATAGAAGATTCCTTTCCACTTAAATCTTCCACTACATATAGATTTGACTACTTCCATTCCACTATCTTTAGTCTCATTTTAGTGTTATAGTAAATGTGTCTCGGCAATGAATATAGTGATGCTATTCATTTGATCAATCATTTTCTTCGTTACTCACAGCATTATGAAGAATTGAAATCTTCAAAGCTTTATCTTATTGATTCAGAATTGGTCCATAAACTATGATTTTAACGGCCTTAGAACAGTTCACTCTTCTTTTTATCTTTTTTATTCAATTTTTCAAAGTGTTATTTTTCTATAGCTTTGTTTGTTTGCAACATTCTACTTATTCATTTTATTTAAATTTAATTCCATTCACTACTTCGTCAGTCAATTTTTGACTATAATCTCTCCTCACTATAATCTCTCCATTCATTTATCTGATAAGACCTAAATCTAAACTGTCATTGCTTCCTAAACATTTTCTTTCTAGCCGTTTCTGTATTATTTTTCTTCATTTCTGTCAAAAAAATTTTTTTCTTGGTTTCAGAATATATCAAAAGAATTTCATTTCAGAAAAATGTTTTCCCGTATAGATCTATTAATAAAATTGTATAAGTCATAGAAATTTTAATCTTATAAGAATAAGTCTTCCATGTGATCACAATTAATCTGATTTTTCCAAGATTCAGTCATATAATTATGCAACATTAAGCCATCCGATAATTACAAAATTTTGAAATATTCAATAGTTAATTTGTTTTTTGATTTGTTTTAGTTATAATTTGCATTAAATGTAAAATAGGAGAAATGTGGGAAGGATGGAAAGTAATGAGAAGAGTGGTAAATTGCCCGTTTTTTACATCAATTGTGCTTGTTTACGCGGTAAATGTCAATTTTCATTATCATTATCACTGTCACCTTCCATTGGATTCAGGTTGTGAAGCAGAGATCAATGATTTAACTATGATGATGACAGGAAATAGCTTAATCAATAGAAGGCAAAAATTCAGTGTTCAGTAGAGGCATTATCTTCTCATTGATCCAATAAATAGGAGTAGATCGACATGGTTACTGGATCAGTGTTCAAAAGACAACGTTGACAGCTACAAGTGATCAAAAGTGATCAAACAAATTTGAAGAAATTCAAGGATAAACAAGTAATCTGTTGAAAAGTATTACTTTGCCAATAAAATTTTCATGTAATGAAGGTAATGTGGATCTATTTGCATAATGAAAAGACAATGAAAAGAACATAATTTTCTTTCTTACTTTTTCTTCAACTTTTAAGGATAAAATGAATGGAACTGTGAAATTCATAGATTAGATAGTTTCAATCATTATATTATTTTTTAATATGGCCCATTAATTAATTGGCTCATCAATATGAGTTCATGGATTCAATTTCAATTCATTTTATGGATTCACTCAGCACTAGTTGTCACATATTGAAATTTTTAATGTAAAATTTCTTTCATACAAATTTCTCTTTCATATTAAATCTTTCTTTCATATACTAAGCATTCGCATTATTTTGCGATGAACTATCTCGTTCAATCAACAATGAAGTTATTAAAAAGGTAGATGATTAATTACACCTTGGTGTTTGGTAATAAGGTCTACTGAAATTTTTAATTTGCTGTACTTGATGCTCATTTTTTTTATCTTGAGGTAAGCATTTGTAGTTGATCCTGGATTTGGTTATTTTTGTTCTTTCGATATTAATTCGATAGGAGAAAATAGACGATTCTTGTGATCCCTCTGCGTCAAAACTGTCACATTAATATTCTTCGCATTCATGAGTAATAGATTTTGAGCATCATATCACTTGTCATGAGGCATTTTACTTAGGTCATTTCAATTTTAATTCTCCAGAAATTTAAGAATAAACTTGCTGTCACATTGCTGGAGAAACTGGTTTATCTGGAATTTATCGATGATGTTATAATTAACTTTTTAATAAAGGAATTATATTATCATCGGCCACAGTGCATCACACTTCTTACTTTCAACTTTTGGGTTGTAGTTAATTTTTTTCCTATTTTTTCTATTTGGCGTTTAGATGTAAAACATTTATAACTGAAAGATGAGAAATGAGATTTTTTGAATAGATAAAATAGAAAAGTTATCTACTGCTATGAATATCAGTGGTAATAGGAAAATTCGGTGAAAAAAAAAGAATATTTTTGACAATTATTTTAAATTCATAGCATTGAGTTCTAGTAAAAAATGTCACCTGTTGATGATTCCAAATGAAAAAGTGACACGCTATGTCAGAGTAAAAATGATTGATCGATTGCATTCTTCATTTTATTTAAATGGTTGGTAATGGACAACAAATTTCATTAACGAAATATTTGGGCATTGCAAATAATACGTATAGATTATATCTATAAATAACAATATAAGCAAAGTAATTGGGGAACAAATAATTCCACCAATCGTCGATCTTTCATTATTTTTTTATAGCATTGAATTTTCACCTTTAATCAGTAATTTTAGCGATTATTTGGATATTCATTCATTAATCATTCCAAATTGTGAGAATTATAAATGTTATTTCACACAAATATCCATTTTTAACGGTTAAAAAGTATTATTGAAGAGCTGTTTTACAATGAGCAAAATCATTATCAACAACATTTTTTTTTTTTTTCTACAAATCTAATCCTACAACATGAAATAATAAACTACCAGTTTAGTCAATCGCAGACTTTTGGTCGCAGATTTCAAATTTTTTGCTTTCTACCAGATAGGATTTTTATTCTCATCAAAATTCCTGAACTTCTAACGTTTTATTAAGGATATGGAGATTAACAGTGGTGTTTATCAACGTATGCTTGCTTATAGTGCACTTTTGCTTTTAATATTTTCCCTAATTTGGTCGAAAAATAGTGCTTACTTTTAATTGATATTTAATATTAATGTCATAATGAGGAATTATTTGATCATCTAATTTACAATACATGATCGGAGCATAATCATAATCATAATCAGCTCCAGCAATCTTTTGCTGTGCTGTTAGCATGGCAGTATGATCCCAATGTGCTATCAGTATGGATTACAGTTACTTTGAACAATTGCATTAAAAAAAAAAGCTTAAGTGTGAATAATTTCAGAAGATCTCAGTTAGAAATACAAAAATTGTATTTTCGTTTTGGTTGCATGTCTCACTTTTTACACTAACTTTTCACATATTCTTTCAAAAATATACTTTCTACATGAAGCAAAAATGTACTATAAACAAGGATACATTGATAACACTTTTGTCAATCTCCGTATGATTTAATAAAACGTTAAAAATTCAGGAATTTTGATGAGAATAGAATCTTTATTTGGGTAGAAAATAAAAAGCTGAAATGTGTAACTGACTAGACCGGTAATTTATCACTTCCTATCAACTTGCTGTTTTCGATGTAATGTTTTTCAGTTCAGTTCCTTAAATTTTATGCAAATTTAGAGAATCACAAGATTTCAAGAACTGTTTTCGTGAAAAAATGTGCGACTTACATATCTCAGTTGATCATCTAATTTATAAATCGATGAGAAAAAAGATGAAAATTTATGGACGAACTTTTGTTTGTTTTACTACTTTTATTCTAAGCATCTTATTTGCCAATTCTCCCGCATCGTAAACAGTTACTCTGCTAAAGTTGCGTGAGTTTTCAGTGATCACTGAAAATTTGCAAGATGTGAGAGCCATAATTATTTCTAATCACTTTTTACACAAGATATGATGCATAGATATATTAGGAGTGAAGTATCACAACAAAGAGTTATACAGTTATTTTCAAGCAAACATGAATTGTGGATTGATCTGATCCGATTTAAAGAATAGATCACATTATGAGGTTAACATGTATGAGCTTTGCTTCCTTTTATTGCTTCAGCTTATTCATTCCTTCATTTCTGATGTATCACTTTATTGATCCCTTTTAAATTTATTATTAATTTATACAGAACATCGCCATTTGTTGGTTGCAGTTATGCAAGATGGTGGCATTATTGCATCAATTCCATTTCTGAATATTAATATATCAGTTGAATGACTAACAATTTCATTAATAATAATTATTGGAATACCTTTCCCGCTTGTTCCAACACTTTCAAATTTTATTGATGCGCTAAGAAATAACCGCTATTTCAATTCTCATTTTCCGTCGTTCCTTTCAGTTTCGTATTTTACATATGGCGGAGACGAATTTTAATGGATTATCCATGCATCGAATTACCGAAAGCGATTTTGATTGTGTTAAAAAATTTCTGCTAACCGATTTCTTATACAATGAACCGCTGAACAGATCAGTCAGTCTAAATGCCAAAGATTCAGATGAACTGTTTAATGGTTAGCTCACTGAACTTTTCCCTGTTTGTTTATTTTGTCAAATTACGAACTGTGAAATTTGAATAAAAGGGTTAAGGCAGACTAATCCGTTGTTTTTAACAGATTTGGTAAACAGTGGGATTGCCTCATCGTTATCGTATATGCTACGAAAACCGGATGGAGAGATCGCTGCACTTAGGTTGGCTTCAATACTGAATCGACCAGAAGACGAGCAACACAATGAAGTATATGCTTATTTCTAATTTTTTCGCTATCCTTTCAATTATAGATCTATCAGAAAATGAGCTGTATATTACAGGAATTGTGGAATATTAAATTATCCATAAAATAAAACTTTTCCATTCTCATTTTGCAGCATAATAAAAGTGCAACAAGTGGTAGTAATAAGAGGACAGCAACGAAAACAATGAATCCAAAGGCGCAGATTATCATGGATATTCTTGAGGAACTGGAAAGCAAGGCTTGTTGATTTGTACCTTTCTCTACATCCAATTCTCATTTTCACTCTTCAAAACAATCAGTGTGTATTTGCAGATTTGGATTCTCATTGATCCACAATTAAAACGTTTGCTGCTGTGGTCTGTAATTTCAGTGCATAAAGATTACACTAGACGTGGACTTGCTGAGAAAATGCTTTCTTATAAGTTGGAAGAAGCCAAGCAAATGGGTTGTCAAGGGTGCGTTGCAGAAGCATCCGCATTTAAATCACAATTGGTCATTTTTCAATTTTGACTTATAAAATAAAAATTAACCAACGATCTTATTTTCCATAAATGCAGTTCTAATTCCTATTTCTCTGACCTGAATTTCTAGATTCTTAATCTCTCAAGTTTTAGTGAAGCCATTCGTGATTTCTCAAATTCCGTGAAATTAATAATTGAATTTCCAGCTATTCAAAAAGATTGGATACGAGACAATCCATGAAATAAAGCACGCTGACTGGCTTGATGACAAAGGGCGACAGATTTTCAAATGTGATGACAGCACTGATTGTATACAGATTGTTTTCAAACCACTCCAATGAATAATTGTTGTATTATAATTCTCGAAATTTCCGTTTGTTATAACAACGAAAATAAAAAAATGTGATAATAACACCGATCCCATCGAGATCACTGTATTTTCAATCTCAACCAAATATTATACCGAAATCACCGCTCGTTGATAGTCTAGAACATACCAAAGCTAATTGACCTAAGAAGATCTATGCGAGTTGATCCAGGTTTCTGATATGGTGTGATACAGTCAGAATTAATCCTGACGGAAAAGGTTTGGATTTCTTGCATCATTTAAGTGTCGTTTCTTTTTTAAGCAAAAAAGGAAAAAAAAAAAAAAGATTTGCAAATTTCAAGTTTCCAAATATCTTCGAACGAAATGTTGAACGTTCCGAAAATATTCATATTATCTGTCTTTCTTTTTCTTTCCAACAAATTTCGGTTTCAAAAGTTTTCGTAATTTTTATGGCTTCTGAAAAAAAAGCAACTCAATTTGGTTAAAAAAAAGTTATTTTGACGGTAATTAGCTCATTTGAATGGAAAATAACGTATTTTGTTGGAAAATAGCTCATTCAAGTGAGGGAAATAGGTATTTTAATAAAAATTAGCTCATTTTAATCAAAACTTAACGCATGCCTTCCTCCTCCAACGACTCATCCCGAAGTTATATACTTTAACAGCTTGCACTGGAACCATCAATGACACTATATTTCGAAGGATCACATAAAGGATCTCATTCTAAAGAATCTCAAATCCAATTATTAAACAGATATGACTTAACTTCGTTGATTCATCACCACCGTATTTAAGTTTTATTTTAAATTACAAACTTTATCAATTAGATGACTTTAGTTCTCCAAACATTTTTTTAAGTGGGGAAAGACCTATTTTTAGAAACTAAAAACGTCCCTTTTTAAATAACTCGGATTCATTTTGTTTATTTTCAATATCATATCTATTCCCACTAATCCTTTGTCCATATACCATAAAATGATAAAACATTGATATTATTTATTCATTCTCAATTCTTTTCGTAAAAATCTCCAAAAATGAAGTTTACTTAATAATATATCCATCCAAAATTATTTAAATGCAGCAAATAGTACTTCCTTTGCAAGTTAAATAATAAATAATGTAGAATACTTTATGGTAGCTAGAATAACAAGGTAAATAAATATCAGTGAAAAAATTTTTTAACTACGATGAATGAGATAGGTAACATTGGGAAAATTCTGCACAAACAAAATTTAAAAATAACATATATTTGCAAAAATGTGAAGCAAACGGACAATGCACTCATTTTTATGTTTCCAAAATATAATACTTGCACTTAAGTTTGAGATAAAATATCTCAAGATTTAAATATTATGATGCTGTTAAAAAATGATAAAAGAATAGAGTGATTACCCTGATATGAATCATAAATTGGTGTAAATAATTGTAATGATATCACAGTATAGTGCTTAATTACAATGGCTATTCATCATGACCAAATATTAATGTGATATTTAAGATTTCCGATTCAGATGATCAAAAACTTGCATTAAAAAGAAAATTTTATTTTAATGTCGTAAATTAAAGATAGAAATTACGGCTAATCTGAAGCATAGAAATACCATTAATGATTAAACCATATAAACATATTTGTTTGCTTCATAAACAGTTAAATATAGATGAGAATAAGGAAATTCTGTTCACACAAAGTTATTTAAGTGGATGATTTTAAAGAAATTAATCTAAATAAATGACCTTTGCGGCAAACGGAAATATTCTATCATTAGACATCAACAAAACAATAACGAGAAAATGTAAACAATGAAGTTCTCAATCAGAGAGGAGAAGTAATTATCCATGAGAAAACGAGAAGAGTGAGGGAGGAGAAGAGTAGAGAGCGAAAGTTTGTCTAAGACATTAATAGAAATAGATTACCAGTGAGTAAAAGTGGAGTTGGTTAAGGTGTTGAGTAAGTTAGTGAGAATGTGAATGAGTGGGTGAGAGTGAATGAGTAAGGGTGTGTGAATGAGAATCAGAGTGAATGAGTGTGAGTGACGGTGAGTGAGAGAGTGAGTGGATGTATCGATCGATAGACGTACGATGGATATTTTGGAAATCTACGGAAAACCATCGTTGATATTTAACTATAAGAATGAGAAAAGTGAATTTTCGTCGAAATGATTAATTATATTTTGAAGAATATCACTGCACAGATTGATACAAATCGTTAAAATATTTCATTTAATCTGAAAATTTCAACTCGTTTAGTTAACTTACTAGAATATCATTCTGATTTAACTCAAGCTTACAAGATAAAATCATTCAAATTCCTAGCTTTTTAGCTAATTTCTTATTATAATAGCACAAGTTTGCCCAACTATTATTCATTCCCTATTCGATTTATACTTTCTAAGGGAATTAATCGGCGAATCTTTTGGTAAATGTTACCACGATAAAAATTGATTGATCCAAATCGATGGATCTATCGTTTTGGTCATAAATTTAGTATGAATAATTGTTTGCTAGTTTATTCACTAAATATGTTTTAAATTTATTATTCCATCGTATGCGCAATCAACAAGTAGTTTTTCTGGCCGTTCTCTCACAAAGCACAATTTTATTGCTAAAATAAATTTTGATATTCTCATATTATTTGTCTTTTGTTATTCTTTCATTCTTCTGCAAGAATAACAAAATTTGAATTTTTTCCATTCAATTAAATTTTACAGAATGTTATTGCCATTTTTGCTCAAAATTTATGATTTGAACGACATAACAGGAAATTTCGTATTAGTGCATACTGGAATATGATTTCAGAGCTGAATCCTGTTCAAAATACAACGAAAATTTGATTTTGCTTAGCTAAAAAATGCTAAATTTTAAATCCAAGAAGGCTCATCAAAAATAAAACAAAAAAGTGCTAAACATTAATTTTTATTTCAACAAATTTGCAGTTTGTTTATTCATGTCCTTTCAATAATAAATACCGTTGATCTATATCAAAAATATGAAATGAAAAAGAAACGAAAATACAAATAATGAAATTTTCTATGAGCAATAAATATTTATTATTACTACAGGATTACTGCCGATTTTCATCTTAGAAAACAATCACCGTAAGACTCATTATCAATTAGTCTTTGAAGATAAAAGCAATTACGGCCACAACAAAAGCTACTAGCTTACATTAATCAATATAGTATGCATGTAAATTCATTTCAGCAACTCACGAAAGGTCATAGGTCATAAGATGGAAACACTCTTTAATGTAATCCCTCATCAGCCAATCTATGATAGAAGATATTTGAAAAGTTTTAAATAATAGTGAGAAAAAATAAATCGCCGTAAGACTCATTTCATTTGTTGACAGGAACACTTGAAATCAAAAAATAAAAAATTGAATTTTGGATAGCAATCCACAAACCTGAAAATAAAACCAAAAACCAGAGCAAGAATTAATTGGGAATGAATAAATGTATAAAGCACAAGTTATATTTCAATATTTAACGAAGGAATTATTTGAATGCTTTGAATTAAAATTTAATTTGCATACAAATTAGAAACAAATCAACATTTGATGAAATCAAATTCAAATGAAAAAGAAAAGGATTACACAGCAAATTTGAAATCATTGTTGGAGACTACGTCTATCACTAATGCACCATAATGATATACATTCAATAGCAATCTCGACTGAATTACAAAACAAAAAACCGAGAAAAAAACCCGCACGAATAAAATCAAAAAGCATTGGTCTTTTCATAATGAATAATAATTGATTAAAAGGATAGAAGTTATACATTGTTTAAATAGTATATCCAACATCTTTTTTGTAAGTAAATTGGTCGACACTTTTTGATGGCTGACATAATGACATAAAAATTTTAGCCAACGATGGAAAATGTTAAATATAGAATATAAGAATTGCTAAAGAAATCTCAGTGAATTGTCCAAAAATGAGCAGTGGTAATTTGCAGGCAACGTTTATCTGATCATTAATTCTCAAAAAATTCAGTAGAAATTTGTATAAAAAAAGGCTTAGAAGTTGTTTGTGCAGAGTAACAAAAATATAATGTGAGAATGTCAGGTAGAGATCAGAAGAGAAAGCAGATGATATTCGCTATGAAAAGCATAAAAGGCAAGAGAGCAAGAGGATTAAACAGTCTCCACTTGCACATACACATCAGATACACACATACACATGCACACACACACACACACACACACACAAGATACACAAAGTAAAATATTGCTTATCTTCGTGAGTAAGGGGGTGAGAGAGAATATAGGAAATTACTATTATGGGTGTTCGTTTCTGTCACTTTTTTTCTTGTCATTTTCTTCTTACGTCAGACTTAGAATAGGAGGAAAAGTATATCCGGTATTAGCATAGATGGTATTATGCTGTAGGTAAATTGAAGTGTGTAATTCTTTTATTATATGTAAATAATAGTTGCATCGCGTGTTTTTGCGTTTGAATATTTGGTAAATTTATTACTTTTAGAGAATAACGACGAGGACGATCAGAATCCCGGTTCCTAGCACGGCAGTAGAAGAGCTTCACCCAGATAATTTAAATGATCATTCAAAGGAACTCCGAAAGGAGTTGAAAGTACCCCAGACAGAACCATACACAGTGGCTCAGGGAAAAGGGAACAATAAAACCGGTAATTTATAATTTTAATAACTTTGGAAATGATTATATGCCTGTAATTTGTGGGAAAAATATAACATATTTTAATTTCTTCCTGATAAAATCTTATTCAATAAAAAAAATCGATTTACACCATTTATTCGATATTCTAGCAACAATTTGTGCAATAGTATTTCTATTTTCAGTGTGTGGTCTCTGCGGCAGGCAGTTTGAAACAAAGGGTGGCGTATTCACGCCTCGAGAACACACAAGCAAGACGGTAAGTATTTTGAAATGGAATTTCCAATTGGTTTTTAAATTGAAAGCCAGTAGATTCATTAATCATGCATGTTCCAGGCTTTTGCGCCCTTTGTGGCCATCACCTCTTGCTGCCACCTGAATTTACGGCCGCTAGAGAACGGCAGCAATGGAGCTTCATGCCCTCGATTGGTGTTCGAGGGCATGTGCGGCCGTAATCAACGAACGACAGGTGAAGCGCCGAAGACTTGATTTGGTGGAAGAGAAGAGGATGCCCATCACCTCTTCATTTCAGGTAAGAAATTGGTACCACTTAAAAAGCGAGATTTAAATATTAAAAACGAAAAATTGAATAACTATAATTGAAATTGAATGACTATCTTATAGTTTTTTCAATCAGTGATTTTTTTTGTTTGTTTCAGGTCAACCGGCTTCCTCACACGGCCAACTTGTCGCTGTTTGCTTCAGTTCTCCATCCTCTATCCAATGAAATACGTCCAAGCGGGTTAATAATATTCAAAAAATAAAAATGAAAAAACCAAAAAAAATTTTAAAAATTGGAAAAGAAAAAAATGTGGAAAACAAAAAAATAGAAAAAATGTTAAAAGATGAAAAGGATTCAAAAAAAAAATCAAAAGGATAAAAAAATGCAAAAAACAAAGAAAAAACACGAAAAAAAATGATGGAAAAAATAAAAAACAGAAAATGAAAAAAATGCTAAAAAACGAAAAAAAGCAGAAAAAAGAAAAAAAGTTTAAAAAAATAAAAGGATAAAAAAATGCAAAAAAACAAAAAAAGAGAAAAAGTCGAAAAAAATGGAAAAAATAGAAAATTTTAAAAAATTGCAAAAAAGCAAAAACGATACAAAAAAATTAGCAAAAACGATACAAAAAAAATTGCAAAAAAAATGACAAAAAAAAAATTTATAAAAAAAAGTACAAAAAGGGGAAAAAAAAAAATGAAAGAAATGCGAAGAAGATTAAAAAAAAAAAAAACAAAAACAGAAAAACGCAGAAGGATAGCATAAAAAGTGGAGAAGAATAGAATTGAAAAAAAGTTTTGTTGTTTGATTTAGGTGTGGAAACAATCGATTTCGAAGTATGGGAAAGATTGTGAATTTTGTAACTGTTTTACATTTGCATATGTCATTTATCGTTTGTAATGACTGAGTAAATCGAAATGAAATGGCTTGGGTTTTATTCAAATTATCAGGTTTTCGGAATTTGTTTTTTGGAATTGTTTTGATGTTTGAATATTCCATCTGATTAGATTTTTGATTAGATTAGACTTTCTTAGTCTTCTTGTTTTTCAAATTTTTTAAAAAAAAAAAAAAAACTTTTTGCACTTAATAGGGATGAAATCCTATTAAGCAAAAGACCGACATATTGTCAGTCTTTGCCTCATCATATTATCAACATATTGTCAGTCTTTGCCTCATCATATTATCAACATTAAACAATTTTCCTGGTTTTAACCGAATGTTTTTGACTTTATATCCTAACCATACATGTGTGTTTGCATTTTATTTTAAGAGCACTATTCCGATTCGACACTAGTTTATGTCGATTTAAAAATTATTCCTTGTTCTGCGAATGGATTGATCATTTTACTCTATTCATGCTGTTTTATTTTGTGCATATTGGTGCTACATTTTGTCATACTTAATTCAATCTCACTCCGCATTTTTCATTTACATTTACATTTCTAAAGCATTTTGTTCGTTGTGGATTTCTTTGTCAGACAAATAGTATAACTGGAACTGTACTCTCAAATTTCCATTTATATAGTTGTTTTTGATAATTTTAAAGGGTAAAACAGTATGAAACACACAACGTACTGACACATTATTTCTCTGGGATACTCGTCCTTACAAAGCACTAGTATGTTTTGTATACCCAACGGTAAATATGATGTTAATCGAATTGAATACAATGGTTGAATTAGAACGCATCTTTTTGCCGTATCTGAATAACTGGACCTTTCCAGAAAATCATTTAGGCAGTTTAATACAGGTAATTTCTTCATTCACAAGATTTTTTTATTGACGAAAAAACCATTTCTTAATAAGAATTCTATAAAATTCGCATCTTTCTAAGTTATACTTCCGGGATTTCTGTCCAGTTTTTCACACATCTGACACTTATTTGAATCCTGTCAGAAGCTTCCTGTAACAAATGTAATACTTAAATTGTTGTATATTTGAAATAAAATTTTTTCATCCTCAAATTCGTAATTACAGTTGCTGAAGTAGAATAAGCATAACCCCTATTCTATATAATACATCTGAAAACAAACATCAGGATCAACCAGTCCTTTAAATATGAAATTTTAGAAGATAGCCATCCTGAATAGCATATAAAACTTTGAAAACAGATTCACTCATCATAAAAATGGCAGGTGAAAATTACCAGTGAACTTTGATAATTATATTCTTCATCAGATTTTCTAATAGAATTGACTTGTCAACATCTTTACATGTCGGTTTCATTTACTTCAACAAATATCCTTGTCGAATCTTATTCTTCACCAGCTCATTTAACTATTGACTTACAACTAATTACCTTACTCTTTTGTTAACCATATACTTTACCTGACTTCTTTTTTAGTTTTATACTTAAAGTGTTAATTATTAATAGTGCAAAACAAAGCAGAAATATCATCCATGCATTTATTACCGAGTATATGTTAAAGAAAAAAGCCTTTTTTTTCGTCCATATAAAAGCATTTATAAGGTTCAATTAAATTTCATTCTTTTCATCATTATCACACTTATCCTTAAGGGCTGAATTACCGGGCACCAATGTACATGTAAATGTTTCCAATCTAATAACTAGTGATATTTCACTCGTCATGCTAATCAAATCTTCTTTTATGCAACTTTTCACATAGCTTTGTCTAATACGATTATATCAGAATGTTTAAAAGGTTCAAGACAAAAAAGGTTATGAGAGATTAGTTGGTTGATACAGAAAAAGGAATGTTGGTTGAATGATTCATCATATTGAACATCGTAAATTTATTTAGTTCCAATTTGTAGCATTACTTGGGAAATTATATATATATAAAAGATAATCATGACGTATATATATATATATATTTGTTATGATTATCTTGAGGTTCGCATTAGGATCGGAATGAGCAGCATGGTTTCTTAAATCCATAAACAATAACTAGCTTGACTACATTCAAAGCACTACGAATGTAAGAAAGGAAAAACGAATTTGCAGGGAAATGGCAATTAATAAAAAGGTATTTTAAGATTATCAAACAATAAAAAGAAGTTACAACAGCTTTAAGTCGTCTCCTAGATCCAGAATATACATTCAAGGTCTATCTCTTTCACAAGAAATACCTAAAATATCCTAAAAATAACAGTAAGTATACCACAGTTACATTTACCAACATTTAGCGGTGATCCAGAAAGATGGAGGTACTTCTGGAACAATTCCGATGCCACAGTTCATCTCTTAAGTATGTCAGACGTTCACAAACTGAGTTGTTTAATGTTCTGTCTAAGAGAAGAAGTTCTGCTAGATGTTAAAGGCAACAGTATTGTTTCTCCGAACCAGCATTAGTGACTTTAACTGAAAATTTTGGAAAGACATCCGTTATAAAAAAAAATCTTAACATGTTGAATTAAATTTATCAAAGAAGATGATATGAATCAGAAAGCAGTAATAGAAGCAATCGAAAAATTTTTGGAATACCAAAATTTCCAAAAAAAGTAAATTATCTGTTTGGATACTCTCAACAGTTTTTATCTTTTTGAAGTTGTTCGATTAATGAATGGTTTTAGGCTACTGAATAGACCAAAGTTAAATTTTGTTTCTTTTAATGACCAAGTAACAACTTTTTAATTTTAGTGATTTTCCTTTAAATTGTTCTAGCACCTACTTATTACCATGGGTATTAGGTTGTTCCTACTGCTTGCAAATTTTAGTTTTCAGATCTATATCTCAACTTTTAATAGCATAAGTCATTTCTAGAACTTAAATCCATTAATCAAATAACAAAAAGATAAACATTGCTGATATATTTTGTGCAGCATTCAAACAGGGTAACTTATTTTTTTTTTGAAGTTTTCATATTGCGGTGTTCAAAATTTCTTCGATTGCTTCTGATTGTCGGAGTATTCTCTTTCAGTTGTTTTCATTGTTATTTTCCATTCCCGATCAGTTCATTTGACAAATTGTAATTCGGTATATAAAGGTATTTTTTATAATAAGGTATTTCCCCGAATTTTTCAATTAAAATTTTTTTTTTCCCCGAATTTTTCTTTCTAATGGTTTTTTTTTTTTTTTTTTTTGAGGAATAATGTCGTAATTTCTAACAACTAGCAGAGCTTCTTTTTCTAGGTAGGATTAATTCAGTTTCTGAACGTGTGGTATGATTTAGAAATGGACTGTAACATCAGAACTGTTTTAGAATTACCTTCATCTTTTCGAATCAATGCTAAGTAACTGTAATTGCAACTGTGATAGGTTCACTGTCAATTGTGAGACTATTTTAGATCTTTCTTGTGACTGAATTAGATCTTGAGTTATGTATCCTGAATTTAGACTAGACCTTGATCCTGGATTTAGGTGATGAACTTGATAAACTGCTAACTCGTAGCCATTTTCATAATTTTAAAGTTATTTTGATTCCATTTCCTCTTCCATTCTTTGAATATAGTCAACGGTCTAATTTTTTCCTCATAGGTCATTTTTGATTGATTGGTGATGAATCCAATTCTTTTATTTCTCTAAGAAGCAATTCTATTTTTTTCTAGCAATGATTAAGCGCTTTTTATTAAGCTGCTGACATTCTGGTATGTGACATCAAATTTATAGCGAAATTTTTTGACTTTAATTTTCACAGGAAGAATTGTTATCTTTTGCCACCTGACTTTTTGATTCTTTTTTTTTCAGTATCTCAAATTTAGATAATTAAACCTTTATTCTGATAAAATGATTATTTTATATGATATCAATCAACAAAAAGAAAGATTTCAAATTACGCCTCAATATCACAACCAACCAATTCACCCAAATTACTTTGTAAAATGATTTCGATAGGAGAGGTGTAGATCCGTTATCAAGTTTTCACTAGTATAGCGCTCTCTGTTAGTACAAACTATAAAGCATATGTGTGTGTGACTTAGAATGAGAATATTTAGCTTTAAGCCAAAGGATTCGTGATACTGTAAAAGTTATTATTTAGTTGTAATATTGGATTAGAATTTTTTTTTCTTCTTTCTTTTTCTATTGAAGCGATAATCCTCCGTGAGAGTGAAAAGCAAAAAATGGCGTAAAAAAACAAGGAAAAAGATGCGGCTAATGAATTCTAATTCTTTATATATCGGTTGATTTATAAATACAACCTTATTCGGATACAGAGAAAGTTATGTGAACAAAAAGAAGGAAATTGTGAACAGAAAGAAAGGGCTGGTTGTAGCTTAACTTTTGAATATTAGCTATCAGAACGAATACATTTACATGTTCATTGGTTTCTGGTATGTGATAAACTGAACAATCAGAAACAAAGATTAGAATTAGATAAATCATTTATTTCATTAGATATCATAACATTAATTTACATTCATTTTATGCGATGAATCATTTAAATGAGAAATATTATTACAAATACTTTGATTATTTAGAAGTATTTATATTACAAATTATTTCAGTTTTCTCGACACCATCACATTTGCATTATGCTGCATACATATATAAGATAAAATTCCATGTAAATATTATTATAAAATATCATAAATTGAAATTGCATTTGTTATCTACAGATATTAAATTATAAATTACTCTTTCTTTACTTTTACTCTGAAACTGGTTTGCAGTTTTCGAAATGAAAATGATTCATAAATTATGTTTTTTTTTGTTTTCTGTTTTTTTTTTTTGTCCCTTTTCAGTACTTTTCATTTTACCGCCCCATTTTTACTCGATGTTACTTAATAACAAACATTTCCTATTTCAATGCTGTTAATTGATATTTATATATAGTTATCTGATACTGTAACATAGTGACATTTCCTATTTTTGTACTACTAATTCATATTTATATATAGTTATCAGATACTCTAAACTAGTAACATTTCCTATTTTTGGCTGCTAATTAATTGCTATATTGACACTGTAAGCTATCGTAGAAAGTCAAATAATTATGTCAAATTTAGTACTTTTCTTACTTGTTTCATTCACTTGTAAAATCTTATCTGCAAGATTACCTCATAGCAATGAACATTCATCCTCGAATGATGATTCAGCAATTGGCCATAATAAGGTATTTGTTTTTTTTTTCTTTCTTTTTTTTTTAAATTAATAATAATTTCAAATTTTCTAAAATTTGAAATTATTATTGATTTTTTTGCTTTATTTTAAATGCTTTCTTTTTCTTTTGAATTATTATTTTCTTGGTAATATTGCAAATAATCAAATATGGAGCCATAATTTAGAGATATAGGATAAAGTAGAAACAAAGTAATCTGGAGATGAAATAGAATACCAAACTTAGCGCTTGATTAGAATATTTATACATTAAAAATACAATAAATTAATTTTTGAAATTTATTTGTATATGATTCATTTGCTGTGCTTCATTTTACATTTTCCTTTTGTTTTTGTTTTTGTTTTTGTTTTTTTTTAAAGAAAACAAAAAACTTTTTCAATCTTTTTTCAAAAGAGAAAAGTCCGGTTCAGTAGAAGGCAGTAATGTATTATCGATTTTAATAAATATTGGAAAATAGTAGCAGCCTTGCTTTTTTCTTTTTTGCCTTAACAGTTATACTTAAAGATTAATGCAAATTTAAAATTTTTGGACTTTTGTAAGACACTATATTATTTACCAATTTGTTAGATTTATAAAACTTTTTTTTTATAATTGCCGAAGCTTCCTCTTAATTACTCAATTTCTTCAAACTATACCTTTTTTTAATACAACAATTTAGTTTGGAAAATAAAAAAAGACGAATATCAGTTTTATAAAAAAAAGAAAAAATACAGAAAAAATAGCTAGTTTTTGAAAACTTCAATTAACTCTCGCTAAGCAATATTTGGATATTCTTTATTTTTTATCAAGAGAAATATAAATTTTAACGTAAATAAAATTGAACAGCAAAAAAATAAATACTGCACTTGAACTTTGGTTTTCTTTTTTCTAATTTTTTTTTATCAAAAATGTCTTTTTTTAATAACCAGTTTTGGTAAAATGTTAGGTTTCCCTTTTTATCGTTTTCTTTTTTTTTTTTTTTTTTTGATATGATCGATCAGTTTAGCTTTATTTTGGGTTGTTGGTTTTTTCTTTTACTTTCTTATTTTTGTGTCAAATTAAACACTCTTCTTTTACTGTGAGCGAAATGATTTGAAATTTTTCTTTAAAAAAAGAGGAAGATTCAGAAATAATTTCACTATTTGCAACAATAGAAAAAAAAAAACGTTTATAATTGCATCATAAATTTTTTGTTATTGATGCAAAAAAAATTTTGGCAATTATTTGATATTAGCAATTCAACAATCACTGCAATTTGGATTTCTTTCATAAATACATAGTTGATCATTTTATTCGGCTGTGCGAAATTCAATAGAAACTTTAAAAATTGAAATTGATATTTGTTTCATATTTTAATTAACTTAGAAACTGAAAATTAATCATTCTTAATCATTAGGTAATTTTTGGAGCTTGCATCTTTTAAAAAAATTATATAATATGAAGAAATATTTTAATTTCTGTTTTATTTTGTAATAAAAGATTAATTTTAATATTTCAATACAAACATTGCAATTTTATTGAAATTCTTTAAAGTGTTCATTAAAAAAAATTACACTAATTCAATATTCTTTAATACTTATACAGTTGTGTTCAAATTTATTCATTATAACAAATGACAATTTAAATTTGGCATTTAAAATATCAATAATGAAATAATTTTCGATAATAATGAAGTAACTTCTAGCGTTTAACGATGAAATTAATTGAAAGAAGGGAAATTTTTTAATTTTAAAGTAATTTATGGTGATTGTTAAAGATATTATTGATCAATAAAGTAATGCGGACAAATTTTTTAAACTTTTTCATCAGCCAATAATATGAATTTTAATGGGAAAATTTTTTGCAAAATTAATCATTTTATTTCATTTTTACAAAATTATTTTATTTTTATTTTTCAACATTAGTAAAGCAAATTTTTCAGATAGTTTAAATGTAAGTTTTCAGATTATTATCATATATTTTAATAAATTTAAAAAAAAAGAATTCTTTTTACCATTTTAGACAATTTCTGGAGCATATTTAAAAATTTCAGGAGGTAGTTGTGACAACCGTTGCGACAACAACATTAGACTTGGAATCAACGACGATGCAACATACTTTCAATGACATGGATAGTGTTTTGTATGCGGAATTGAGTGAAGATGGTTCAATGCATGTTAAACCAGCTGCAACGCACGTGATTGACGTGTCTTTATTATCGGATGATTTGATAACACTTACACATATCGACAGGTTAACAACTAAAAAAAATTTCGAATCTTCTCAGAATCAAGAAATGGAAACTACGAAAAATTCAACAAATTCGGATAGTTTGAAAAGCGGGACAAATCCGGAATTGAAGTCAGTGACAAATGATTTCAATGAATTTCCGGACGAAATAGAAACAACAACATGCTGCTATAATTTTGATATAACGAATAAAATTGTTAACTTTCAATCGAAAACAAATCAAGATATCGAAGTTAAAATACTTCAACCTGCTGCTATAGCGGAATTTTCGAAGCCAGAACATGAGCCTAAGTTAAAATCATTATCAGGAAATTCCAGTGAAATGAATGATCCAGTGAAAATGATATCTTTAATCAAATTAACGAGACAAGGAAACGCAAATGATGAAATATCAAAAGGTAACACAACAAATTTACCAATGGTTTCCGCTTCAATTGCTTGCTTAATAGTTTCAATTTTTTTAAAAATTTTAAAAATTTTTCGTTGAAATTTAAATTTTGAATATTTCGTTGAAAATTTAAATTTTGAATATTTTATTTATTGTATATTTTGTGCTCAAATTTTTTTTTGCAAAAATTTTTTTTACTGCAAATATTTTTACATTTGTATAATTAAATTCATTTGTATATTCAATTCAATAGGAACAAAACACAATATAAATCGAAAAGTTAAATTATATTTATTAAAGTACTCATTTCAATTCTTTTTGTCTTTCACGGGAGAGAGAGAGAGAGAAAGTAACTCTCTTTCATGAAGATATGAAAGGAAATTTTTGTTGTTATACAGAAAAATGAAAAAAGATTACTTGTAAAAGAGCACATAGCACGGAATTTACTTATTCCTTTGAATTGTTTTGCAACAATATTTTATCATATTGTTTGTGGCATAATCTTTAATTGAATACTTGATTTTAATATATTTAAAAAATGCTTGATTTTAGAACGCTTATTGTGCTTCGTTAATGTTTTTGAATGAAAAGTTAACGTAAGTTATTATTACTATTTTAGATAATCATAATTCTTTTTCAAAAAAAAAAAAAAAAGATGAACCATTTTTAAAATTTGATATTATTGTGAGCAATAAATATAATTTATTATGTTTATTCTTTTGGTATAATATATTTTTACACTAAGCAAAAGATGAGCAAGTAAATTAGAATGATGATAAAATGAAAGATAGCAAGCAGCTAATGCATACAATAGTAAACAAATAAAAGATAGAGAAATTTATGAATTATTTGGTCAATTTTTTGAAACTTATTGCAGAAAATAAATAAATACTCAAAAATATGTTAAATTTACCATTTAAATTTGTTTCTTACAACAAATGAGGAAAATACCTTGCGCACAGTAATAAATACATGACTGATCACCATCTACTAACAAATTAGCTTCACGTAATGCTTCAAATAATAAATTTTCGGTAAGATATAAACACGTAAATTTACGTCCACCGAATGAGCACCACGTTTCTTCTAATACACCACCCATTACAAACCAACCTAAAATGATAACATAAAATTAATCTCAAAATTGTTAATAATTTTTCTTTTTCTTTTTCTTGTCGCATAATTGAAATTAAATATTAATTATTTATTTTAAGTTTGAAACTTTGTAATTAATTTATTTAATTAAAAAAACTATTATAGAAATGCATATACTTTACCAATTAATTTTATTTGGCAAATATATGTAAAATTCTCTAATATAAAATACATGCATCCTTTTATTGATTAAAATTTAATTAAAAACTTTCACATAATTTCACTCTAAAATGTCACCTCCTAATTAGTTTGCTAACTAATTACTCCCAGAACAATATCATTCATTGAAATTTCTGAGGAGAAAAAAAAAAAAACTTACCGCCAGGTTTTACTTGATCTACTACATTTCGTACTGCTTCCTTATATTCCATCTCACTGCTACAACAATATTCCAAGCAAAGAATAGTCACAACTATCTGGAATATTAATTCAAAAGAAAAAATTAAAAATAAAATTTTAAACTTTTGCTGATTAATTAAAATTTTTTAATTAATAAAATAGATATGATTCAAAATATCTCATGCTATTTCAATATTTATGATCAAAAATATTAGCATGAAATGAATATGGAACTTAATTACTTCGCAGTTTTACTTACATCAAAATTATTTTGGAGAATTTTCGGAGCGCTTATCGATGGTTTATTATGACAATTACAGTGAAAAATTGAACGAATCTGTAAAAAAAAAAAAAAAAAAAAAGTTAAAACAATGATTCTGTTCTAAAATCACACACATATGCAATGATTCGTTACAATTAATAACATTTTTTATTTTAATTAATTTTACTATTTGCTATCAAAAGAATTTTTCTTCCTCATTGCTTTTTTGTTTTTATTCGAAAATTTCAAATTTAATTGATAGAATTGAAATTAAAACCTTTGACTTAGTATATTGTTCCATTTCTTCAAGTTGCAACCAACCGGAACCTTCCACTGAAGCAATCATTTTAAGTGCTGGCGTCCAATCAAATGCACTTTTACCATTTGCCCATCGTGATAATTCATTACGATTTTGCGGTAAATAATCAGCCAAATATATCTGCAATATAACTAGCCTAAAATTTATAGCTAGTCTAAATTTGATCTCATTTATAAACATCTATAAAGTAACATTTTATAAAAGAGCCAAGTATGTCAAAAAAAAAATTCAGTTTTCCTTATGCTCGAAGCTAAATAAGCCAAATATAGAGTTTATCGCATGTCCAAAATGAGCCAAGCATGTCAAAAACGTAGTTTAAAGTCTACATGAATCTATCATTGCAAATCTTTTTTTTTTTTTTTTTGGTTGCAACATGATATATGATTTTTGATAGATTTTCTTGGAATACAATTTAAATTTAAAAATTTTAAGACAATGAACACTTTTAAAATAATTTATGCTTATATAAATCTTTGCAAGACATACGTTTTTTGCTTCCTCTAATTCAAGTAAGTAAGCAATTTTTTCTTTTTTCTTTTAGCAATAATACTTTTCGTTTGCCATAATTTTCAAACAATATTTATATTATTTTGTCTGAAAACTTTTGACACTAGCAAGTTTAGAATTAAAATTTCAATAAATTCTATCTTAGAAGAATACTAAATAAATGAAAAGATGATGACATTAAAAAAAGAAAAAATTTTGATATGTCTAAAAGTTTTCAAAGTTAAAATTTTTGACGTCAGCAAAATTACAGCTTAGATTTTTTATACAAATTTTACCTGGAAAGAACATCAAACAGTAAAAAAACAACAGTGTAAAAAAAAAAAAAAAGGTTTTAGTGTTACCTCTTATTGTAATATTGCACTTGGAAGTTTCTGACTAAAACTTTGACAACCATTGGTTAAATTTCAAAAAATTTCCAAATTTCATTTCAAAAAGAAAAAATGCAACAATAATGTAATTTCAATGATATTTTACATCCTTTTTTTTGATATTTTAGAAATAAAAGTTTTAATATCAATTACATTTATTTCTTTTTTTTCTTTATATCATTTAAGAAAGTAAAAGATGAAATATAACTTCACATTTTTTTTTTCTTTTGTAATATTATTGATAATTAAATTTTTGACAACCACTAGTTATATTTCAAAATACTTTGGCAAATGGAAAAAAAAGATCAAATTAAAAAACTGGTAAAATAAATTTTACCATAATCATTTAATTAAAATCATTAATATCATTTAATCTTTATCAGAATACTAAAAAAAAAAAAAGAACAAAAAAGATTTTTCCAAATTTTAAGTATTCTGATAACTAATTATAATAAATGCTTACATTGTTTACTTTATTCCTGAAAACAACCGAAACATGTATGGTTGGTCCAGCACCAAAATCCAAAAGATTATCATAACAATCAATACGCTCAGCAATACTAGGTAACAGCATAATCATCATTTGCATTGCTGGATCATCAACACGTTGATAAAAATCCTAAATTAATAATTAAAAAATTTAATTGAATTTCAAAGTTTAAAAATTAGTTCAATTATAAAAAATATTAGATAATAAAATTTTGTTAAAAGAATACATATTGTTTAGTTGCTTGATAACTATTTCATATTTTTATTCCTCTAATTCAATTAAACTTTTTTAACATTTCAAATCTTGAATTAATTTTACCATTTCAATTATTTGAGTTTTTATTTCTTTCAAATTCGTAGGAAAATCATACTATCCTAAATTATAAATTTAAAAAAATATGCACCGAAAGATAGGCTTGAGAATCAAAATTACTTTCCAATCCATCTGGTCCAACAATTGTATCATTCTCAATTGTCATCATTAATTGTTGAAGCTAAAAAGTTCCAAAAATTTATGAAATTTTAATTAATCGATAATTCAGAAGAAAGAATTTCGTAAAATTGCTTATTGGTTATTTGCTGAAAATTCATTTATAACCTTTAAAACGATCAATTATGCTTGAAAAAAAGAACAAAAAAAAAAGAAAAAAATCGATAATTCGTTTTCAGAATATAAAAACGTTTTAATGTTTCGGAATACAACGAACCGAAAAATGCACATATTCACTTTCTTCATTAATTAATAAATAATATTTTAATATGTATATATTTATAGAAAAGAACTGATTACAATCCATTTCATTATTTATTAAAGTATTTATTTGATAAATCATTTTTAAAGATCCATAAAATTACATCCATGCGAATTTATTTGTAAACATTATTTATTTTTTTTGTCATATATATTTTGTGTTTATTATATTTATAATGTTTATGCATTTCTATTGTTTACATATTTACAATGTTTAGCAATTATTAATTACCAGGCAAAAATGCATCGTCTTTTTGCAAGTCATTCCAACCTTTCTTTCCTTTTTAGTAGAAATTAATTTTAAAGTTTAAATTATAAGTAATATCTAATGAGTTAAAATGGATGATAAAATAAAATAACACATTAAAGCAAAAGGGAATGTAAAAGAAAGTATGTTTTGATTGAATAGATTAAAATTTTTAAATTGAAAAAGTTTAAAATAAATTTAAAGAGCTATTGCTCACTTCTATTTGCTGTACTTGTGATGAAGCGTTTAAAAATATAGCTCAAAATATTGTTGTAAATTTGAAAAGCATTGAACTATCTAGCATCAAATTACTATCATTTTAGCCTTTCAAATTTTAATTTAATAATAACATCCATTTTAATAATATCCATTTTTAATTGTGACATAATTAATTAAAACTTAATTCATTATCAATAATTATCAAAATTTTATCGTTTGCTCATTTATTACAAATAACAAGTAATGACTAAGTAATAAATAAGTAATTTTACTAATTTCATTGCTATTAGTTATATCACAGGTCACCAAAAAATTTTTTAATTTTAATTTAATGATGCTATCCGATTTCTAGCTGTAACATAATAAATCAAAATTCGATTTATTAGCAATAATAATTTACTAAAGTTTTACTTTCCTTGCTACTGTTTTTTTCTTGATTTTTA